TTTTTTTTTCATTTTTTATTTCGATGGGTCCCACTCCCACACATGTGAGGGTAATTCTTCCGTACATATGGTTTAATTTTATAATCATTCCTGTTTTCCATTTATAATCTCCAGTATTCTTGTATTCACGTACTTTTTCTTCATCCATACTATCACGCATAGCAATAATAGAAGAGATTGCCAGCCGCTTCTTCAAGTGGAGCAATTTGGAGCATGTTTGAAAAGTGTATACACAGCTCAAATTATAAATTAATAGAAATAAGCGATTACTATTTATGTATGTGTTAATAAAAAGTGATTTGAATATTTATAAACATGAGCCAAACATAAGCTTAACATCGCCATCAGCTTATTAGAAAAAACAGAGATACTTTTACTACTAATTTCTCTTGAATTACCTCTTCTAAAAAGTATAGTTTATATTATTATTAACGTTATAGTATTATAAAATTAATAACGAATATGTTAAAAAAGGAATTACAGACATATTGCTATATCAATCTGATAATGGTGACAGCTAAAAGGGATTTTCTCAGCTCACACCAAGGGACTAATAACATAACATGCATAACCTGGCATATTTCGAAAGAACAAAAATAAAAATTATTTCATTCGTCACACTACTAGAACAGTAAAACACTGTAAAATCAACGACTACTTTTTATAATTAGGTTTATTTCTTATTTTTTCCTCTCTTCTGATTCTTTCCCTCCATTTTTTTCCCCTGCTCTCTTCCGGGGCACAACTAAAATTACTCTGAGATTCAAGTTCTTAGTACTGGCCTGAAATTGCATTTATCACAATACAATCTTCATGCATATACCAAGCTAATATCGAAGCACACCCCATCCTGGTTTTGTCACTATTTCTCCTCAACCAGATTATTTGATCTTTAACCTCTTTTTATCAACACAGATTGGAGTCGGCCACCCTCTCACTTTTCTATCAAGCCAAGTATTTTTCGAGTCTTGTTCATATGCTGGCAAATGTAGACAACCTGAAGCACTGAAAAGCAATGATTTAAGAAAATCCAAGAAAGACGCTGGAAAACCTTACAAACACTGAGTACAATGCACCAAACTTTTGTACCTATATTCTTATAAAAATCTGGAGTAACGGATGACCAAACAAGTGTGAAATGGATGATCATAGAAGATAATTGATTTATCAGAGAAAAAACAAATACCCCCTGGCTTCAAGTTCTTAAAGCAAACATGGAGTACAGCTATGAAATTTTGAACAACAATAAGTACATTCATGAAAATCATGCAAGAATAATACTAATACCTAAAAATTTTGAATTTTTTGAAGCTCATCTCTAGTTCACTGTTCAGAGTAGCGAATTTTTACTAAGTTATCAACCAAGAGTGACATGGTAAAGCTGATATCAAAATTAATAATTATAACTGACACAAGCTCAAAATCCAAGCCAAACAATCTCAAGAAGGGTGATGAAAGACAAATTCCCAGTGTACCTCTGCGGTCATTGTCAACATTTACGAAAAGTACAAAAGCAATACTTAACACCTACAGCAGTGTTGATAGCTAGACACATGAAAAGATAAGAAAGAACAAAAAGTAGAAGCTTGAGCACATGATCAAACTCACAAAGTGAACACGGTGAAAATGTGGAATAGCTCGGGTATGTTCTTCTATATAGACAATAACTGAAAGCTATTAATTGGCTTCTTCCATGTGAACATTCACTACCAAAGTCATGGCCAAAAACACCTTACTTTTATCATCAATATATAAACTAATGGTATGTGAATAAAAGCGGGCAAAGATCATTAAGAATTGTGTTCTGCCAACTCATAAAAGAAATATATCCGCCCTACCACATGCTTGTGCAGTAAAAAGTTCTCTTCTTATCTGTATAGTTTCTGTCGAAAAGACAAGGATTGCAATACATAAGGAAGAAAAAGAAAACAGTCCGGTCTCAATTGATTATTGTACAAGGAGTTATAGTCCCTAAGGGCTAGCATCTATCAAATTGGCAAGTCAGATTTGCGAGGAAATGCCACAGAGATCTAAACAACAAGAACAATATGGCATGCGGCAAATATCAATTACTATATGCAATGTATCACTAGATCTACAACCACAAAAAATGGCACTAGGACCATATGTCAACCATAGTTTTGATAAGTAATTAAGATGAGAGTTAGCAATCAACCATTGGTTACATAACATGACATGAAAAAAGGTCTGCTGTGCAATTAAATAAGATATATAAACTTACCAATAACTTCTACGCCTGAATGACCGAGGGAAGCAATATATGGACAAACCAGAGGGGAGCTTTACCACGATAGAGTTAACTGAAACAATGAAGATTGCATGCATGTCAGCTTGAAACCTGATCTGTCTTTTGACCCAAAAAACGCAGTCTTTTTCTCAGTATTTCTGCTTCTCTGGCGATTTGGATATCTGAAGGCCAGAAAATTTGTTGCAAAACTTTGAAAACAAAACGAGGGAGCAATCCTACAACTATTATTAACAAAATGGAGAGCCAATAAGCTGGTGACTTCGCCAGATGGTATATTGTACTGCAATGAAAACAATAATCACTCGTGTCATAAGCCTTAAAAAAGAAATTACAATGCAACAAATAAACATTAATATCACTGAATTTTCTTGAAAACTTAATATTTAAGCTAACCCGTAATTAGGAAACACGGGTATAGAATCAAGCACCATCATGCAACCATATGTGATAATTATTGATCCCCATAATGAGATGTGAGTAATAACAACCCAGCGTTGAATGTCCATTGCCAAATGCATATTGACTAAGATAACAACTGCAATTGTCCACAAACTGCCCATACTCCATATGTCAATGGTGCTATCCCTATACGTAAACAAGGGTATGTAGAAGAGAACAAGGCTCTGCCAAAGCATGTCAAGCATAGTGATCCAGAAGAGGGGCATATTATAGCTCTCCTGTCGATGCCCTGCAGCATAGAGTTTCGGATAGTTCAATAATGTCTTGTGACTTAAGTCCTTGTCCAAAATACCGACAACGATAGTAGGTAGTGACGTATATAGAACCGAATAAAAAACACTGCTCCAGTCTGTCAGTGCAGAAGTCGTTGAAAAAGCTGTAAACAGAATGTACCTGGAAATTAAAATAAATGCATGAGCTGAAATGTTAATCCTAGGCAGTTCTCATTTTGCATCAGCAATTTCATTGAGCATCTGATGCAAATTTAAGCTCAAACAAGAATTTCAATCGTATAATAGGATAACTCGTAACAATAACACTAGACAATTGAATGCCTAATTGGCTTCATTTAATTTGTTCATAAGAAGCGAGGATTGGAATGTCATCATCAAACGGTTGAATTTATAAAGACCAAGGATAATAGCTTACCAGAAAAGCATCAGCACGAAAACAGCATTACGGTAGAAGTTATAAAGAACCAGATAACCAATACGTTGATAATTCCAATGTCCATGCACCAAAAGCAATCGTTTCAAAAATCTGAACTGTCCCATTGCAAAATCTGAAGCCATTACGGCTTGACGCCCTTCTTGGCCACATATTCCAACACCAACATCCGCCATTTGGATCATGGAAACATCATTAGCCCCTACAAAAATACAGTGTCAATTGGATTAAAGCAAGTCAAAAAACAACCTATAATGAAAGAAAACAGCACAAATGTATAAACAAATGCAGCCTTCAAAGGATTAACCAAAACTCAAATGCAACTTCCTCCAGCCAATGCCACATGAATCCTAATTCCTAAGTAACCAACTCACCATCACCAATAGCTAGTGTCATGTCATCACTGCGACATTTGATCAGGTCAACAATTCCAGCCTTTTGCAATGGCGCTACACGACAACAAAGCACAACTTTGCACGAAGTTGCGAGGTCGAATAGCTGGTAAACCATGAAAATTACCAAATGAGAAGCTTGGTAAGTTATGCGTAATTTCATACAGCCAACAAAAGCGACAGAACTTTGCACATTTATATCCAACTCAAGCAATTTTGACAGGCTAACAGATTCAAGAATCCGATAAATAAAATCAAGCATGCGGAACGCTATAAATCATATCAAAACATCAGAAGATAACCAAAAAAGGCAGAAAGTACACGTGCCTCAGACTCTAGATCTTTCTCTAATATGTAAACCAGACTATTCCCATCAATTATAAGTGCTAGTGGTCCAAAAGAAGCTCCTTCTTCCTGTTCTGCATGCTGCTGTTGCAAACTAGATAACTTTGTGCCAAGAGGAATCTCAAGGTAATCATTTTCAGTATTCTTTCTCCATTTTGATATCTGGTCACTGCTATTTGCAGATTTTACACAATATTTGGCCTTGGCATCACAAAGAAGTTCTCTGCATTCACTCTCAGAAGTTCCATTTATAATAATCTGTTCCATATCTGCAGTCAAGAGTTTACAGGAAAGACCAATAGAAATGGCTGTCTCTTGTTTATCTCCAGTAAGAACCCACACCTTTATTCCGGCTTGCCGCAGGGACTCAATGGCTTCTGGAACACCCTCTTGTAACTTATCCTCAATTGCAGTGGCCCCAAGCAGGGTCAAGTCACATTCTATAAGAGCTGCTGTCTGACGCAACTTTATAGATCTGTCCGTCAGGGATGTGCTTGCATCTTTGTACATACACTGCCATTCCACGAGTTTTTCACCTGAAAGGTCCCTAGAAGCAACAACTAGGGTACGCAAACCTTCAGATGAATATTCATTCAGATGACTCTGTGTAGCATGTTTTGTATGATTATCATCAGGATGGTCCGTCTTTAAAATGCTGAACATAGATGAATCAGCCCCCTTCGCCAATACCTTTACAGTATCATTTGGAAATCTGACAACAACAGACATTCTTTTACGCACGCTATCAAACTCATGCAGACCCATAACATCCAACCTGCATTGCACAATTAGAAATGATAAGCATGAACACCAGCTTGAAATTTGACGATGAAAGGAAATGCAGGAGTATTAAGTGAAGCCACTGAAAATTTGACACAATAGATACATTGATCAGACTTAATTCAATTACAGACATGAAAAAAAAAACATAGAAAAGTGGTTGTGGGTGTTGTACTATAGAGAACAAGATAAAATCACACTAGTGTACTGCATATCATCTCTGCCATGTGGAATTAAAACAATATTCCAACATAAAGTGCAAAATGCATGGAAGTAAAGAAATTGAAGCGGAAGAGGCTTCTACCTTGATTTCTCACCATTGACATCAACCATAATATGCCCAGATGTCCGCTCGAAAAGGGTATACCCATAGGCAGACGCTGCAGCAACCAATGCCAGTTCATCAGGAGATTCACCCTGATAATCAATGATTCCATAACTGGTACCAAATGTACTGTCAGTGTCACTGGAAGATGGACATTGAGAAGGAATAGGAATAACAGTATTACATGCTGCGAGTGTCAGAAAAAAATTGTGTGCAGCAATCCTTTCTTCTCCTGAAAAATCATTATGCAACAATTTGTGGAGTTCTGTATCAGGGGTAATTTCAGATTTGACCTTCCATTTTCTTCTACCCTCCAAGACAGCTTCCACTGCACAGGTTAATTTTAGATTTATTACAATGATATGTGTTAATCAATGCATTTTTCTTTGGCAATCAGTCATGACGATGAGCACATACGATTATAAACAAGCATATGATGTGTATATAAACTTGTGGAGCCAATCAGTATTTAAGTTACTTGGTTCACGTGAAGAACTCTAAGTGATCAGCATGATTGAACTAACAAGGAAACTACAGGTGTTCTTCTAGTGACATGAAACAAAATAGAGTGAAAAGGGTAGACCAAAAGGAATTGGATGCGTAAAAGGAAAACAGGAAGGGAAATGATGTTGTAATAACTGTTATCATTGTCAGGCCCTTCGCCGTGACGCCATCTACCTTAGTCATGCCTGTATTAAGTGATGTGCTACATTTGGAAAGCCATCGATATGGCTTTCCAAAAAAAAATTAAGATACATCGATACGTGCTATAAAATCTAACATAATTTCATTAAAAAAGAAAAAACAGAATCATAATGATAAAAATAAAATAAAATACTAAAACATTTTATCTTAATCCTTAATTACCCCAACTTCATTTTCTTCAACATCAACATCAGCTTCTTCATTATCATCAAAAATAACTCTCCAATTCAGGCTCATCTAATGATAAATTAGCAACATCAAGCAGTCCAACAATTTCAAGAGTATCAAGTGAGTTCCGACAATGTCCTAGGTTTTGGATTCTCCTTTTGAATATAAATCTAATTTTCTTGTAAAAGACGCAGATTGCTATGAATGAAAACCAACTCTTCAGTTCCTTGTGGAGTTATTCCTTCTCATAGAGTGCACAAAAGAATACACATTCTAATCATTTAATACTAATTACTATATATTTTCAATAATAAAGATATATTTTTCAATTATTAACACAGTTTCACAGTATTAAAAGATTAAATAATATTGTGTATTTCCAATAAAAAAGTATAGTTGTTAATTAATTTAAAACTCTAATTGTGTGCTTCCATTAAATATTATTAATATTCAATAAAGTAAAAAAAAAAACTTTTTCAATCTATAGTCATTAACAATGAGTTTTAAAAGAGTTTAAAATCAATAACACCCTTTTTCAAGTGTCCTAACGTATAGGATATGTATCGAAAATAATTAAAAAATATGTATCCGATACGTATCGAAAATTTAAAAAATATAAAATAATAAAAACAAAATGTATTCGGTACGTATCGAAGGGTATCGGAGAGTATCCAAACTTGAATATGTATCGAATACTAGTAGTATTGAGTTTACGAGTATTGGTACTTCTTAGCTTGCAGATCTAAGGATATATGTTGTTCAACATAAAATTGGGAAAACAAAATGTCCATATTATCCTGTTGTCTGATAATCCTCTACATTTTTTTCCCTGGAAGACATATACATCATATTCATGTCATTGGGTCAAACTCAATGAACAATAAGAAAATGAAGCATAAAACCAAACTATATGTATTTTGTTTCTTTGAGATGAGACCTAAGATATATTTTCATCCTCTCTCATAGCTTGAGATTTTAATTTTCTCCATAATGATCATTTCCCATCTTTCCTTCTAAACAAATAGAAACTAATCAACACCACAATTCTACAACAAGCAAATACCCTTGTCAGATAGAACCTGAAAAACCTTATCACAACTACATCAAGGGAATCAAGAATAAACTATAAAAACTATAATCTCTTAATGACAGATTTCTGCTAAATTGGTGAAGAAATTAAAAATGAAAAATATCTGAGCTTTACCAATACCACAGAAAAACAAGTGAAAGAAGCGAAAAAATTGTAAACATTTTCAGTGTAACCAAATCTGATATGATAGTGATTAAAACATCAATTTATAGAGATATATTTACGATTTTCAAAACAGATCATTTGAGTTCAGTGGCCACCATCAATGTACTATAGAAAGTACAAAATAAACTAAAATGACAGAACAAGTTAGATGCCATACCTCCAATATTTTTGTCACCTGATCCATCCAGAGAGAGGGTGCTACCATATTTCTTTCCCCAGACACTTGCTTTTCTGAATTCCATTTTGTTTTCTGTTAGTGTGCCCGTCTTATCAGAAAATACATAGCGTATTTGTCCCAAATCCTCATTAATATTCAAGGATCTGCACTGAAATCTTGAATCGGAGCTACTGTCATACATATGCCTGTCGCCAATCATGAAATATGATTGTCCCAACCGAACCAGCTCCATGGTGATATAAAGAGATATCGGAATCATTATTTGAAACACGATGATAGAACTCAAAAAAGAGAAAAAAGTCTCCATTGGAATTCCATAATATTTGTACTTTTTCCCAAACTTCTTCTCAAAGTATATTTTTCGGTAATAAGGCAATGTATCAAGCTGACTCTTGTGGCTATTTAACCATAAACCCATCCCAATAGCTACAACAAGGCACATGATTAAAAGAAAAACTGACAACCAAAATGTCTCACGGTTCATGTAGGTTTCCAGTCTGCTTCGTTTAGCAGGTGACATTGCACTGTTCAGCATAGCTTTTGTCTCCTGTCCAGCATAAACTACTACGCCAACCGCCCATTCTGTGTTTTTAAGCTGACAACCACGCAAAATAATGTTTGATTGGCTGAGAGGAAACCTCTGCCCATTTATCTCCAAGTTGGCTGTGAACTCGTATATATTTCTGTTTGGCTGTTCACAGGTTATAACCCCGGATATTATTGTCCCATCAAGAACTAATTTATTAGTTTCTTGCCTGGCATATCTAGTCTTCAAGTTTGACTCGCCATCCAAATTCATTGTCTGGATATAGGCAATTCCACTAGGATCACTTGTGCTCAGCAATACCATATCACAAGGAATTGTCTCATCAGAACAGATCTTCACTACCTCACCGGACTGTATCTTTTTCCATCTTTTTGGATGGAATTCGCCGAATTGAAGAACCAGAGCTTCCCGGTTATTCTCATTCTTGTCCGACCTGTGTCTTCGCCAATCCTCATAACCATCTTTTACAGCTGTCACGGTAAGCACAAACAGAAGAGGGAAAAGGGATACTGTTCTCCCAAAGACAGCAAGAGGTGGAAGTTGGTTCAGAGCAGCAATACCTAAAAAATACAAATAAGCAACCCGGTGGAACTGAATGAAGAGATTCTTAGGCAAAAAATTAAGGAATGTATATTTACTGGTCCGTATCTCATTTCCAGAAAACTCAGACGTATCATTAGTCCTCTTAGGATCATTTATATGGATCAACCTAGTGTTATCATGATGTGCTAAATTTTCTTTAAGCTGCATGCTTATCTGAAGGAACCTCTCAGACCTATGGGACTTGTTCAAATTATCCTGGACCCCAGAAGAAATGGTTCGAGATGAAGCCCCAGAAACGTCATGCATAGTCCAAATGTTCTGCGAATCCGTCACACCTCCCCATGACACAAGGCGTTTCCTCTCGCGTAGGGAGAGTTGCACATGAAGGTCAACTGACTTGAACTTCTTTCTGGTTCGAAGGTTCCCTAAAACACCTCCTAATGGGGCAACGTCTTCTTCAAATTCCTCCTTCAAGTCTTCCTCCAATTCTTCCTTCAGATCGTACAAATTGTTATCTTGCGTCTCATCAGTAACAGATGAAGAGATCGATGTGTTGTCACACAGACGTCCCAGCGAGCCGATTGTCAGTGATGAGTGCAGGCGATGGTGAAGTCCTGGCCCAGATGACGGTTCAGAGGTAGACAACAATGGCTTGCCGGAAGACATAGAGGATCCACAACAGAAGATAAAGCATTGGAGAATAGCATAACTATTCCCTGCCCAGAGTGTATTCCTTCCCTTCTCGCCCCAATTAAAAACCACTATAAAATTTCCCAACTCTTAAACCAACAATATACACAATGCAGCGGCTAATAATATTCACTCTATAGTTTCTCTTTATCTTCAGCCGTTCATTTCGCGTACTTGGGAACAAAATGTACCCAAAAAATCCAATAAGAAGCAGCAGAGTAATTTTCCTCCAAAACAACCGAAATTCCTCCTAATTCTTGAAAACCCTGACCCAACCTGTGTCAAAAGAAACTTTACCGTTACAGCGACCAAATTAGAATAAATAATGACGAACTAATCACTGTTCCACATAAAAGAACAACCGTCCACAGCCTCCAAAGAAAAGCCAGAACTGCAAAACAAAAAGCAAAACCCGTTTGCATAATGAAATCACTGCGACATTGGATTCAAAACAATTAACATAAGTACCAGAATGGAATGGGACAGTGATAATAGGTTAAAATCCTGACCTGTGGAAATTGAAAGCAGAGAGAGAGAGAGGGGTGGGGGGTGGGGGTGGGGGGGGGGGGGGGGGGAATACAAGTTTGCTTCTTGTTATCGTCTAGGAAAAGATGAAAGAGTGAATTGAATGAATTTGAAGGCAATCAAAGCACTGAATACGAAAATGACGACAGATCCAGATCTGGTTAAAGCACCCGATCCCATTTCTCTCCTTCCCACTAATTATTTCTCTCTCTGCGGCTCTGAATCCTGATCAACTTTTTTGGACATAAGAAATAAAAAACTGATTTTACGTTAAATTGTGGGAAAAAATAATTTCTTTATCCAATTGGCAGTGAATTAAATTACTAAAAGCGGAAATTGAATTGAATTCGAACTGAAGTTGAGAATAAGATCGAACGCGGAGGAGGGATTAAGAGACAACGGGACGAGTGGAAGAACACGATTTTTGGCTTTATTCCTTTTCTTTACCTATTTTTTTCCTATCTGAGGGACTCCACCCCACCAATGATCGTTGAAATGTCGGCTTTGCCCATAAAACGGGACGGACAATAAAGGGAAAAAGGACCCAAAGTACAGGGCTTTTTCACGAAATTCTGGTTGGCAGGTATTGTAGAAAGAAATCGGATTTGTAATTAAAATATTTTGCTAAATTCAAATTTTTTTAATCACGCATTCTTCAAAAAATCGTTGTTCCAAAACTTATTTCACCCCCAAAAACTCGTTAAAATGGTTGTCAAATATGGGCTAAAAATAATTGTGTTTTGATTCCCAAAATTGTATCACTTTGATGCAAAGGGGTAGGTACTATATCGGCATGAAAAGGAGCCCCCAAGAATCACAAATAAACTTTCCAAATTGCTCCCAAAACTTAAGTTGCCATATTTTGGACCTGGCTACTTTCAAGTGCATCGCTCCTGCAAGGAACACATTCCACTCAAGCAAGGAAATCTTCAAAAATATGTCGTCTCTACATTATACTTTGCTCTTGCTCGAACAAGAGGCATGTTTCTACTTATAAGTATTTGTACGTTCTTAGCTAGACTCCCATCCAAGATTCTTTTGAGTCTCGAGGCTTGACACTTTTACTCCGATATCATTTTTTTAGCCATGTTCTTCACTCGTTTAATCACCTATGCATTTAAAGTTAGGGATTTGACCTACAAAAAAAAATTAAAGCAAAATTTAATACAACATGACTTCAAAATGTTCGAAACACCACAAAAATGATATCATTAAGAAATCGAGTTCTATCCCTCCTTGCTCATGGATACCCTGCATCTCCTTAAGCATTGTACGTTCCTCATTCTTTTATTAATCCACCAAGAGCTCAACTACCACAATGGACTCATCCATGTTGACAACTTCATGCCCCGCCTTATCAACTCCATTCTCGCCAACGTTGGATCCCATAAGTGAAAGAGAACAAGTCTTCCTCTATTATGCTAAAAATTTGAGGCGTGACTACGGTAAATTTTGCATAGTCACCGATGGTGGGCTTGAGATTCATCGGCCTCATATAACACATTTCTGTGGAAGAATTTCGTCTTCAACTTCCTCTTGAAGTCATCTCATGTTTCAATCTTACAGAATATTTTCGTTGCCGTCATAGTTGGGATCTTGGTTGTGAAACGGATTAAAGATATTAGTACTACAGATTAAACATTATTCCTAGAAGTTAGATTACAATGACCTTGTTTTCTCTCCACTGTGTTTATGCTTGTGGGGATTCAATATAGTTAGAATTCAGTATTCACCAGCCTTAGCTACGGTTTACAACAGCAGACAACACCACATTGCAGTTCCTTATTTCCAGGGAAATAGAATCAAGTTTGTTAAGGCAGCTGCTGAGTTTGTTTGCATCATTCTAGATCCTTCTTATTCGTGTATAAAGCTATGCATTTTGTAATGATATTCTATCTAATAAAGTTTCATTTGATTCAATATTCTTACTTGGTATCAAAGCTTACAATGGCCAACACCGACTCCGGCAACCAGTCAAATCCGTCTGAGTTTATTACAGCTCCAATTGGTCAGGCAACAGCTGGCCAGAACATTACTTTTGGTGTGAACATAACTCAAACACCATCAGTGAAGCTAGATAGGAACAATTTCCTCCTGTGGAAAAATATGATTATACCCATAATCAAAGGGCATAAACCTTGAAGGGTATTTGTTGTGGACAAAGGTGTGTCCACCAGAATTTTTAGCAACCCAGACAACCGTTGGTCAAGGAGAATCAGTGGAAATGACTCGAAATCTAGAATTTCTGAAGTGGATGTCAGCTGATCAATTGCTTATGGGGTGGTTATATTCCTCCATGACTCCAGGAATAGCCATGAAAGTCATGGGATGCACGAGCTCAAACAAATTGTGGATAGCTGTTGAAGAAAGCTTTGGAATACTAAATAAATCCCGTGTGATGTTTCTCACAGGAGAGCTGCAAAGAACAAGGAAAAAGGTAATGACAATGGATCAATACTTAACCACCATCAAGCAATTGGTAGATAATCTGGAAAGTGCTGGTAAAATCATTGATCAATGTGAATTAATTACTCAAGTTCTATCAGGCTTGGATGAAGAGTATACTCCCATTGTGGTGCAGATAAGCAGCAGAGAAACTATCTCCTGGTATGAATTATCCTCAGTACTAATGACATTTGAAAGTCATCTTGAGCACTTAAATCAAGTGAAGAACAACTTTACCTCACTCAATGTTAACCAGTCAAGTGTCCAGTTGGCACATAGGACTGGTTCTGGTTTTGGTAGAGGTTTTAGAGGAACTGCAAACTATAGAGGCAGATCAAGGGACAGAGATAGAACTACTATTGGTAGGCAAAATGAGGGTAGAGGCCCTTGTCAAATCTGAGGACTAAACAATCACACTGCAAGCTTCTGCTACAATAGGTTTAATGAAACATACATGGGAGGAAAGCCAGCTAACTCAGGCCAGCAGAATTTCAGTGCAGCCCCATCAGCCTATATAGCATCACCTAGCACTTTTGATGACCCAACGTGGTATGTTGACTCAGGTGCAAGCAATCACGTGACAATTGACAAAGGTAACCTGGATACTATGGTGAAATATGAAGGTAAAGAAAAACTACTTGTTCGAAATGGAAATAGATTACCTATTGCTCATATTGGAAACTGGAAAATTTCTGCATCTAACAATAAGTCACTTGAGTTAAATAAATTATTACATGTTCTCTCAATCAAAAGGAATCTGATAAGTGTTTCCCAACTCACTAATGACAAAGATGTGCTCATGGAATTTTATTCTAATTGTTGTGTTGTGAAAGATCTCCAAACGAAGAGGATTCTACTGCAAGGAGTTCTTAATGATGGATTGTATCAGCTGCAACCATCAAAATTCAAGCCAGAAAGAACCATTTTCGAGCCAAACCTTCTGAATAACTCTCAGTGTTTTACAGTAAAGTCTAGTAGTGGTGAACAGGCCTCAGTTATACCAATTTCAGAATTTGATTTTGAACTTTGACATAGAAGGCTAGGACATCCCTCTAACCTTATGGTAAATCAGGTCCTTAAGTCATGTAATAGAGCTATCAAATTCAATGAAATTCCTATTTTCTGTGATTCTTGGAAACTTGGAAAATCTCATGCTCTTCCGTTTAATTCTTCATTCTCACATGCTGATAAACCATTAGACCTTATTCATGCTGACGTTTGGGGACCAGCCTCGTTAAATTCAACCTCATGATTTAGATATTACATAATCTTTGTTGATGATCATAGTCGTTTTACATGGATTTATCCTATGAGACACAAATCTGAAGCTCTAATCACCTTTTCTCAGTTCAAAAGCCTTGTAGAAAATAAATTTGAAAGAAAAATTAAAACTTCAATCTGACTGGGGTGGAGAATTCAGAAGTTTTCGCAAATTGGCCCTAGAGTCTAGTATAGAACTAAGGCAGTCTTGTCCCTATACCTCAGTTCAAAATGGCAGGGCTGAATGCAAGCACAGACACACCATAGAGGCTGGGCTAACTCTCCTAGCTCAGGCTCAAATGCCTCTTTATTATTGGTGGAAATCCTTCAAAACAGCCACTTACCTAATTAACAGGTTACCTACCCCTGTCTTACACCATAAATCACCTTACCACGTTCTGTTTAATAAAACCTTTGATCATAAACAACTTAAAACCTTTGGATGTGCTTGTTTCCGGTGTCTGAGGCCCTATCAGAGGCATAAATTCAGTTTTCATTCCCAAAAGTATGTTTATCTTGGCTATGGTGACTCACACAAATGTTATAAATGTCTAAGTCCTAGTGGGAGAATTTATATTTCCAGGCATGTTGTGTTTAACGAACTAGAATTCCCTTTCAAGAAAGGTTTCCTAAACAAACATTCTCAACCTCAGCCCTGTAATACTCAACTAAGTTATCTTTCTTTCATTGATCCTAAGAGTCATACTATATCCTCAAATAAGACTGCAGCTTCTACATTACATTCTGAAGACTCCTCTGCAGCAGACTTTCTCAATGGAGGTATAGAAATTGAGGCTAAAAGAGGTATGTTGGTAGAACATTCTATTGATGAGGTGAACCAAGAATTGATAACAGAAAATGAGTTATAAGAGGCTCCAACTGATCCTCAGAATGAAGCAAGGGAAACGAGTCTATCAGATGTGAGCACACCTCAGAATGCAGGTCATCAGATGATTACCAGGAGCAAAGTTGGCATTTTTAAACCAAAAATCTATACTATTGTGGCAATGGATGAACTAGCTATGGTTGAGCCAACTAGTACTGATGAAGCTTTAACAAGCAGCTGCTGGTTGAAGGCAATGGAAGAAGAGTATAGTGCCCTCATGAAAAATGAAACATTGAGCTTTGTGGCACCCAAGGCTGGAATGAAGATCATTGGCAACAGATGGGTATTCAAGTTGAAACACGATGCAATTGGGAAGGTGATAAGGCACAAGGCCAGGCTTGTGGCAAAGGGCTTCCTGCAAACTTCTGGTGTTGATTTAGTGAAACCTTTAGTCCTATGATCAAGGTAGCAACTCTAAAAGTTATTCTGACTCTTACTATCTCAAAGAATTGGAAGATTAGGCAAGTAGACATTAATAATGCCTTTTTGAATGGGAGCTTGACAGAGGTTGTCTACATGAACCAACCACAAGGTTTTGTTAATCAAAATTACCCTGAGTATGTATGCAAACTTAAGAAGGTATCGTATG